GAAACACGTTCAGGTGGGATAGGAAACACGTTCAGGTGGGATAGGAAACACGTTCAGGTGGGATAGGAAACACGTTCAGGTGGGATAGGAAACGCGTTCAGGTGGGATAGGAAACACGTTCAGGTGGGATAGGAAACACGTTCAGGTGGGATGGGTAACACGTTCAGGTGGGATAGGAAACACGTTCAGGTGGGATAGGAAACACGTTCAGGTGGGATAGGAAACACGTTCAGGTGGGATAGGAAACACGTTCAGGTGGGATGGGTAACACGTTCAGGTGGGATAGGAAACACGTTCAGGTGGGATAGGAAACACGTTCAGGTGGGATGGGTAACACGTTCAGGTGGGATAGGAAACACGTTCAGGTGGGATGGGTAACACGTTCAGGTGGGATAGGAAACACGTTCAGGTGGGATAGGAAACACGTTCAGGTGGGATAGGAAACACGTTCAGGTGGGATAGGAAACACGTTCAGGTGGGATGGGTAACACGTTCAGGTGGGATAGGTAACACGTTCAGGTGGGATGGGTAACACGTTCAGGTGGGATAGGAAACACGTTCAGGTGGGATAGGAAACACGTTCAGGTGGGATAGGAAACACGTTCAGGTGGGATAGGAAACACGTTCAGGTGGGATAGGAAACACGTTCAGGTGGGATAGGAAACACGTTCAGGTGGGATAGGAAACACGTTCAGGTGGGATAGGAAACGCGTTCAGGTGGGATAGGAAACACGTTCAGGTGGGATAGGAAACACGTTCAGGTGGGATGGGTAACACGTTCAGGTGGGATAGGAAACACGTTCAGGTGGGATAGGAAACACGTTCAGGTGGGATAGGAAACACGTTCAGGTGGGATAGGAAACACGTTCAGGTGGGATGGGTAACACGTTCAGGTGGGATAGGAAACACGTTCAGGTGGGATAGGAAACACGTTCAGGTGGGATGGGTAACACGTTCAGGTGGGATAGGAAACACGTTCAGGTGGGATAGGAAACACGTTCAGGTGGGATAGGAAACACGTTCAGGTGGGATAGGAAACACGTTCAGGTGGGATGGGTAACACGTTCAGGTGGGATAGGAAACACGTTCAGGTGGGATAGGAAACACGTTCAGGTGGGATAGGAAACACGTTCAGGTGGGATAGGAAACACGTTCAGGTGGGATGGGTAACACGTTCAGGTGGGATAGGAAACACGTTCAGGTGGGATAGGAAACACGTTCAGGTGGGATGGGTAACACGTTCAGGTGGGATGGGTAACACGTTCAGGTGGGATAGGAAACACGTTCAGGTGGGATAGGAAACACGTTCAGGTGGGATGGGTAACACGTTCAGGTGGGATAGGAAACACGTTCAGGTGGGATAGGAAACACGTTCAGGTGGGATAGGAAACACGTTCAGGTGGGATAGGAAACACGTTCAGGTGGGATAGGAAACACGTTCAGGTGGGATGGGTAACACGTTCAGGTGGGATAGGAAACACGTTCAGGTGGGATAGGAAACACGTTCAGGTGGGATAGGAAACACGTTCAGGTGGGATAGGAAACACGTTCAGGTGGGATAGGAAACGCGTTCAGGTGGGATAGGAAACACGTTCAGGTGGGATAGGAAACACGTTCAGGTGGGATGGGTAACACGTTCAGGTGGGATAGGAAACACGTTCAGGTGGGATAGGAAACACGTTCAGGTGGGATAGGAAACACGTTCAGGTGGGATAGGAAACACGTTCAGGTGGGATGGGTAACACGTTCAGGTGGGATAGGAAACACGTTCAGGTGGGATAGGAAACACGTTCAGGTGGGATGGGTAACACGTTCAGGTGGGATAGGAAACACGTTCAGGTGGGATGGGTAACACGTTCAGGTGGGATAGGAAACACGTTCAGGTGGGATAGGAAACACGTTCAGGTGGGATAGGAAACACGTTCAGGTGGGATAGGAAACACGTTCAGGTGGGATGGGTAACACGTTCAGGTGGGATAGGTAACACGTTCAGGTGGGATGGGTAACACGTTCAGGTGGGATAGGAAACACGTTCAGGTGGGATAGGAAACACGTTCAGGTGGGATAGGAAACACGTTCAGGTGGGATAGGAAACACGTTCAGGTGGGATAGGAAACACGTTCAGGTGGGATAGGAAACACGTTCAGGTGGGATAGGAAACACGTTCAGGTGGGATAGGAAACGCGTTCAGGTGGGATAGGAAACACGTTCAGGTGGGATAGGAAACACGTTCAGGTGGGATGGGTAACACGTTCAGGTGGGATAGGAAACACGTTCAGGTGGGATAGGAAACACGTTCAGGTGGGATAGGAAACACGTTCAGGTGGGATAGGAAACACGTTCAGGTGGGATGGGTAACACGTTCAGGTGGGATAGGAAACACGTTCAGGTGGGATAGGAAACACGTTCAGGTGGGATGGGTAACACGTTCAGGTGGGATAGGAAACACGTTCAGGTGGGATAGGAAACACGTTCAGGTGGGATAGGAAACACGTTCAGGTGGGATAGGAAACACGTTCAGGTGGGATGGGTAACACGTTCAGGTGGGATAGGAAACACGTTCAGGTGGGATAGGAAACACGTTCAGGTGGGATAGGAAACACGTTCAGGTGGGATAGGAAACACGTTCAGGTGGGATGGGTAACACGTTCAGGTGGGATAGGAAACACGTTCAGGTGGGATAGGAAACACGTTCAGGTGGGATGGGTAACACGTTCAGGTGGGATGGGTAACACGTTCAGGTGGGATAGGAAACACGTTCAGGTGGGATAGGAAACACGTTCAGGTGGGATGGGTAACACGTTCAGGTGGGATAGGAAACACGTTCAGGTGGGATAGGAAACACGTTCAGGTGGGATAGGAAACACGTTCAGGTGGGATAGGAAACACGTTCAGGTGGGATGGGTAACACGTTCAGGTGGGATAGGAAACACGTTCAGGTGGGATAGGAAACACGTTCAGGTGGGATAGGAAACACGTTCAGGTGGGATAGGAAACACGTTCAGGTGGGATAGGAAACACGTTCAGGTGGGATAGGAAACACGTTCAGGTGGGATAGGAAACACGTTCAGGTGGGATAGGAAACACGTTCAGGTGGGATAGGAAACACGTTCAGGTGGGATAGGAAACACGTTCAGGTGGGATAGGAAACACGTTCAGGTGGGATAGGAAACACGTTCAGGTGGGATAGGAAACACGTTCAGGTGGGATAGGAAACACGTTCAGGTGGGATAGGAAACACGTTCAGGTGGGATGGGTAACACGTTCAGGTGGGATGGGTAACACGTTCAGGTGGGATGGGTAACACGTTCAGGTGGGATAGGAAACACGTTCAGGTGGGATAGGAAACACGTTCAGGTGGGATAGGAAACACGTTCAGGTGGGATAGGAAACACGTTCAGGTGGGATAGGAAACACGTTCAGGTGGGATAGGAAACACGTTCAGGTGGGATAGGAAACACGTTCAGGTGGGATGGGTAACACGTTCAGGTGGGATGGGTAACACGTTCAGGTGGGATGGGTAACACGTTCAGGTGGGATAGGAAACACGTTCAGGTGGGATAGGAAACACGTTCAGGTGGGATAGGAAACACGTTCAGGTGGGATAGGAAACACGTTCAGGTGGGATAGGAAACACGTTCAGGTGGGATAGGAAACACGTTCAGGTGGGATAGGAAACACGTTCAGGTGGGATAGGTAACACGTTCAGGTGGGATAGGAAACACGTTCAGGTGGGATAGGAAACACGTTCAGGTGGGATAGGAAACACGTTCAGGTGGGATAGGAAACACGTTCAGGTGGGATAGGAAACACGTTCAGGTGGGATAGGAAACACGTTCAGGTGGGATGGGTAACACGTTCAGGTGGGATAGGAAACACGTTCAGGTGGGATAGGAAACACGTTCAGGTGGGATAGGAAACACGTTCAGGTGGGATAGGAAACACGTTCAGGTGGGATAGGAAACACGTTCAGGTGGGATAGGAAACACGTTCAGGTGGGATGGGTAACACGTTCAGGTGGGATAGGAAACACGTTCAGGTGGGATAGGAAACACGTTCAGGTGGGATAGGAAACACGTTCAGGTGGGATGGGTAACACGTTCAGGTGGGATAGGAAACACGTTCAGGTGGGATAGGAAACACGTTCAGGTGGGATGGGTAACACGTTCAGGTGGGATGGGTAACACGTTCAGGTGGGATAGGAAACACGTTCAGGTGGGATAGGAAACACGTTCAGGTGGGATGGGTAACACGTTCAGGTGGGATGGGTAACACGTTCAGGTGGGATGGGTGATGGTTGATCTCCTCATACTCATATGCACACACTCACCTCCACACACTCCCACTCACCTCCACACACTCACTCCTCTAACTCACCTCATCAGTGGAACCTTCCTGCCTGTCTTCCTGTCGCTCTGGTGAGTGGGTGGGTATGGTGCCTTCCTCCCCACACTCATCCCCTCGTGTTCGCCCCTGCACGAACACAGCCGTTCGCCGAACTGAACAGTGTTCGGTTCGGCGAACACTTTAGCAAAAACAGATGTTCGGTGTTCGCCTGTGAAGGCGTGTTCGGGCGAACCTCGAACACGTTCGTGTTCGACGCGGGGCAAATTGCAGCAGCGGCCCGAACACGAACGTGTTCAGGCGAACCTCGAACACCTTTGTCACGAACACTTTAAGCTAAAAAAAAAACCTGTTCGGTTCGCCTCGAACGTGTTCGTTTCTTTGCTCAACCCTACCCACACACATACTCACTCCCCTCCGCACACTCACGCCCCTCCACACTCTCACTCAACCCATGAGTGGAACTGAATCGGTTCTTGCTGGGTTCAGGATGCAGTGGCTGTCCTGCCTGTTGGTGACCTGAGGGTATGGGGGTATGGTGACCTGACCAGCTCCGCACACTCACCTTCACGCACACACTCATTCGCCTCCACACACGCACTCCCCTCCACATCCTCAATCACCTCCACACACTCCCCTCCCCTCCTCTCACTCACCTCATCAGTTGATCCGAATCGGTTCTTGCTGGTGCTGAGGATGCGGTGACTCTCCTGCCTGTCGCTCTGGTGGATGGGTACGGGAGATAGAGAGGGTGAGGGAGAGGTAGAGCAGGTGAGGGAGATGGTGAGAGGGGGGTGGAGAGGGGGAACGAGGAGGAAATGAGGGAGAAGTGGAAGCAGACAAAAAGACAAGAGAGAAGATGTGGGAGAAGCGGGGCGGGGCAGGTGGGTGATGGTGCAATGTGCGCCTCAATCACAATGGCCTTTGAGTCGACTCAAAAGTCACCTTGCGGCAAGCAGGTGATGGTACCATGTGTGTGCGCCTCACTCACATTGATGGTACCATGTGTGTGCGCCTCACTCACATTGATGGTACCATGTGTTTGCGCCACTGGCTACTGGCTACTAGTGTCCCACCTGTTAGTCACACTCGCTAACAACCACTCACCTCCACGTGCATCACCACATCCACTATGTGCTTCAGGTCCCTCGGGCCTGCCACATCCCCCGCTTTAGTCACATGGCCCACCTGTAAGGGGGGTCAAGGGGCGGAGGAGCAACTGAAGCAACTGAATTTTTTGTCAACTGGAAACCGAGGTTACTTCTCAGTCGACCCAGAAACCCACCTGCAAGGGGGAAGTCAAGGAGGGGAGCAAGCGCCTGTAGACTATAGATGCATGTGATTGACAATCTGGTATAGAAAATTCGGTACTAAAACCACATGCCTGGTGATGCACGTGGGGGTGATGCACGTGGGGGTGATGCACTAGCAGACAAAGGGACTGGGCGAGGTGAGTGTAGACGTGTCTTGGAAACGTTTTAAAATGCCCCTGGCTTCGCTTTACTCACAAGGCCTATTTGCCATGGGAGAGAAAGAGGAGACAGACAGATGTGTGTGGTGGTGGTACATGTGTAAGGACCATCCAGCACGTCAACTGCCAGCATCAGCCATTATGAGCCTGACTAGGGTCAAAAGGGATGAGATTGTTAGAATATAGCGTGCTAAAGACTAGAATGTTGGGTGTAGAGTTGGGTTTGGCTTCATCATCTTTTGTGGTTGGGGTCCAGGGTTTGGTTTTCAACCAACACTTATTGGGACTCCCAATAATGTTGGTCAACGTCAACCCAACTAGCACTTATTGGACTCTCGATAATGTCGGCCAAACCAACCAACACTTAATGTTGGCTAGCTCAACCTAGTTCAACATCAACTATATGTATACCCTGAGCTTACTTGAGCTATCAATCAGAGTTCTTTTCCCTTCCCTAAGGAACTCCCAGCCATAATGCTGCACTAAGCAATCCTTGTCCTCGTGCCTCCTTCCCGGCACTCATGCCACCTTCCCAACCCTCGTGCCACCTTCCCGGCCTTTGCACCACTTCCCGGGCATTTGAGCCACCTTCCTTCCCTTGGGGACATTTGTCCCACCAGCTTGCTCCCTTCCCCAGGCATCAATTTCTAGAGGTCGAAACGTGTTCCCACGCTTCCACGCGGTTAGGACCGTTCAACACATTTTGAGACGTCACAAAACGTGTTGAACGGTCCTTGCCTCGGGATTTGGAAATACTAATTTCCCATTCTGGAGTCTTGTAAGAAGCTGACCGCACTCTCAGGGTCTTTTACCCATATTGCTATCAGCTTTTGCGAAATGGTGCATCTGCCTGGTTCGATCGTCAAGCTTTCTTCTCTGGTCTTCCTGAGGATAAGATTCACCAATATTGTTCTCCCACTGCTTATCAATTCCGGCCATCTGCAGGCGCTCAAAACCCTAAAGCTGTTGTCAGTTGCCATACAGGATTACCCTTTTGTCTCCCAATCTCTTCCTTACATGCCTTCTCCCAACAACCTCGACCTTTCCATGAGTACACTCGTCCATTTTGGGTTATCAGAGCTGCGGACTTTCAAGCTGAAGTGGATTGATCTCACACGTTTTCCTGATTCCTTCGCTCTCGCATCAAGCTTCAGATTCTTCCCAACAAGAGCAATGGAATCAGAAAAACGTGTGAGATCAATCCACTTCAGCTTAAGAGTCTGCAACTCCGATAACCCAAAATCTCCAGGTAGAGAGGAAAGTGTACTCATGGAAACGTCGAGGTTGGTGGGAAAAGGCAGGTACGGAAGAGACTGGGGGACAAAAGGGTAGTCCTGTATGGAAACTGCCAACAGCTTTAGGGTTTTGAGTGCCTGCAGATAGTCGGAATTGACAAGCAGAGGAAAAACAATATTGGTGAATGTCTTATCTTCAGGAAGACCAAAGAACAAAAGCTTGACGAATTAATAAGGCAGATTCACCATTTCGCAAAAGCTGATAACGAGATCTGATAACGAGATAGTGACAAGCTGATCCTTTGAATCATGGGAGCGTGGTCACATATGTAAGAACCGTTCAACACGATTTGAGACGTCACAAAACACTGGTGCGGGTTTAAACAAGGACCATCCACCACGTCAGCTGTCAGCATCACATCACCCTTTGTGAGCCTCACTGGGTTAAAAGGGATGAAATGACTGGAGATAGAACTAGAGTGCACTAGTTTGGCCCACGGCGAAACTAGCCTGCTACACCTTCATGAGAAGCGGGAGGCAGAGCAGCAGAGGGGGGCGGCAAAAGCGGGCGGCAGAAGGGGGCGGCAGAAGGGATTGTCGGAAGGGCCGCATAGCTTACAATGAAGATGGGGATTCCTCGGTTCTTGGCCTCCAAAAGCAGCAGCAGCGTGCACTCTCGCACCTGATGGGAGGAGAGAAGAGAAGAAGCGGGTATGGGGCAACGAGAGATGTAGCGATTTGAGAAGGGGTCAGGGCTCACAACGCATGCACGATGCGGATGCCTCGGCTCTTGGCCTCCAATAGCAGCAGCGTGCACTCCCGCACCTGACAGAGGGCAGGGGGGGAAGGGAAGCAAGCGGAAGGAGAGGGGAGGGAAGGGAGAGACGGGAAGGGAATGGGTGGGGAGGGGAGGGGAGGCAATGGAAGGGAAAAGATGGGAAGGGAAGGGGAGGGAAGGGAAGGGAAGCGGAAATGGGAGATGTAGCACGCGTTGTCACAATTTTCGAGGCGTCACAGAATTCACCTCTGCTACTGACAACTCTCCCCTCTCCCCTCTCCCCTCTCCCCTCTCCCCTCTCCCCTCTCCCCTCTCCCCTCTCCCCTCCCCTCTACCCTCTCCCCTCTCCCCTCTCTCCTCCCCGTCCACCCTGCCTCACCTGGCTGACGCTGCCCAATGAGCCGGTGACACCTGGCAGGTGCATGGTCTGAATGGAGTCCACTATCACAGCGCGCGGCTCTAACTCCGTGATGCCCTCCAGTATGCTCTGTAGACAAGAAAGGGCGAAGGGGGTTGAGTGGAAGGGGCAACAGGAAAGAGTTGTGATGGTGGAGTGAGGGTAGTGAATGGAGTCCAGTATCACAGCGTGCGGCTCTATCTCAGTGATGCCCCTTTCAGGAAGCTCTGGAGGGGGGAAGGGGGCAAAAAGAGGGTTGTGGGGAAGTGGAGGTTGGGAGAGGAGGTATGGAGAGGTGGTGACGGTGAGGGCAGTCCATGGAGTCCACTATCACAGCTCGCGGCTCTATCTCCGTGATCCCCTCCAGGCTGCTCTGCAGGGAAGAGGGCTGCTCTGCAGGAAAGAGGTGGTGGTGCGGTGGCGACACTGCATGGTCTGAACTGAATGGAGTCCACTATCACAGCTCGCGGCTCTATCTCCGTGATCCCCTCCAATATGCTCTGCAGGGAGGTGGAGGGGACGAAGAGGGTTGTTGGGAAGGGGTGGTGGGGAGAGGAGGTGACAATGAGATAAGGGCAGTGAATGGAGTCCACTATCACAGCTCGCGGCTCTATCTCTGTGATGCCCTCCAGGCTGCTCTGCAGAGGGGGAGAGGAAGTGTATGGGGATGAATGAAATCACAGTTCGCGGATCAATTTCTAGAAAGGGGCGGTGGCCCAACTCCCTCAAGGAGGCTCTGCACGTGAGAAGGGGCGGCAGGACAGACAGGGTTGGTGGCGGTGGGTGGGGGAGGAAATGCACGGGGATGGGATGGATAAAACGACAGCTCGCAGCTCAACCTCCCTCCGTAATCCCCTCCAATATGCTGGGCAGGGGAGAAGGTGCGACGGGGGGAGGGGAAAAGAAGATGTGCATGTTGGGTGGGCTATATGAGCAGGACCCAGGGGCTGACCCAGGGGCTGACCCAGGGGACGACCCAGGCACCGGGGGGCCTGGGGGGCGGGGGGCAGAGCCTGGGGGCCGGGCCGGGCCGGGGGGGGGGGAGGAGGTAGGTGGGGCACCTTGCCCGCTAGATCCGCGCGGATATGTCAGTCGTGGCCCAATGGGGCGCTTTCAACGTCAGATCAGACCCGTGCATGCGGAGACTCACCACTCTCACACCTAGGCCGCACCGCAACAGGTTCGTGTTGGGCCAAGCAGGGCGGAGTGTTGGACCACTCCGTAATCCCCTTTGGACCATGTGAACCCCGACCCGGATCGTCCCCGGCTGAATGGGCTGCATCAGCATGAGAGGCTGCCGCCATGAGATGTTTGGACATCCGTTCGACGATGTCCCCAAGACGTCCATAAACGACCTTCATAACGTTAGCATCTTGTCAGAGTTGTCAGAAGTGGAAGAGGGGGCACGGGAGGAGGATTCTGTTAATGAAGTGGAGGAGGGGGCAGAGGAGGAGAATTCTGTTAATGAAGTGGGGGAGGTGACAGGGGAGGAGGATGAGGATAATGAAGTGGGGGAGGTGGCAGGGGAGGAGGATGAGGATAATGAAGTGGGGGAGGTGGCAAGGGAGGAGGATGAGGATAATGAAGTGGGGGAGGTGGCAAGGGAGGAGGATGAGGATAATGAAGTGGGGGAGGTGGCAGGGGAGGAGGACCTCCCCCACTTCATTATCCTCATCCTCCTCCCCTGCCACCTCCCCCACTTCATTATCCTCATCCTCCTCCCCTGCCACCTCCCCCACTTCATTATCTTCATCCTCCTCCCCTGTCACCTCCCCCACTTCATTAACAGAATTCTCCTCCTCTGCCCCCTCCCCCACTTCATTAACAGAATCCTCCTCCCGTGCCCCCTCCCCCACTTCTGACAACTCTGACAAGATGCTAACGTTAGGAAGGTCGTTTATGGACGTCTTAGGGACATCGTTGAACGAATTTATTAACACGACAAAACAAGTGGACTGGGTAAGGCGGTCGGTTGGTAGGTACCTCGAGGTTGTTCTCAGAGAGCAGGAAGAGGTTGTCCGCAGTGATGCCCAGGCGCTTGGCACGCGTGGCCAGCTGCTCCTCGCGCTGCAGAGAAAGGAGGGAGGGAGGGACAGGGAGGGGTTGGGGAGGAGGCGTATTAGGTGGAGGGGGCTAAGTGGACCATTCACAACAGGTGCAAGCAGTGTGCAGGTGCCTTATTCATGCCCAGACACTTGACACGTGTGGTCAGCTGCTGCTCCTCGCGCCGCAGACAGGGAGAGGAGACGGGCGGGGAGGGGGTGGGAAGATGGGATCAGTCAGGAACAGGTGGGGGGACGGGTGGGGGTAACTGTGGCGGGACGGGTGTCTGGTGGGGGGAGGGCACACGGTCGGGCAGAAGGTGGGGGAATGGAACAAGGGAGGGAGAAGGGAAGGATGAGGGAACAATGTGCAGAGTACTCTGCAATGCTGACCTATGTTGCAAAAGGCGCTGGGCGCGTCGTGCGTCCTGCGTCTGGACGCAGCGTCCAGACGCAGGGACGCAGGATGCACGCCGTTTTTTTTTTCGGGCCGAAAAAACTTTTTTGCCCAGCGCGAAACTGACATTCGCGCTTTCGTCGCGAATGTCATGTTCGCGAAATTTTGTCCCCCACAACACCCATGTCGACCTTGAAAAACGGTCCCCCAACCAAGTTTGAAAACCCCCCCAACCATTGTGGTCCACCACCAAGCACAAACACTTCATTTGCCTCCAAATCTCGAGCTCACTTCAATTCTCCTTCAAAAACCCTAGTGGGTTTAGCTCCTTCAATTCTCCTTCAAAATCCCTAGTGGGTCTAGCTCCTTCAATTCTCCTTCAAAAACCCCAGAGGGTTTAGCTCCTTCAATTCTCCTTCAAAAACCCCAGAGGGTTTAGCTCCTTCAATTCTCCTTCAAAAACCCTAGACCATGTGTGACTCTTGGGAAACCTGTTTATGGGGGAAAATATGTTGGATGGGGAAAATTTTGCCTCAAATGTGTGGTACGTCGTTCTCCCCCCCTCCTTCCCATGCCCTATAGCATGTTTTTTTGGTTGCCCGGACGTTTTTTTGCCCTGCCCGGGCATGCGTCTTTTCCAGCGTCTCACAGGGCCCAAAGAAGCGTCCTGCGTCTAAGACGATGCGTCTGGACGCAAGCGTCCTAGACGCAGGACGCGTCTTTCGCAACATAGATGCTGACAGACGCCCATCGCCTCTCCCTACCCGCATCGCACCTCCCAAGCCCACCTCCCCCAAGCTCGCCTCCCCCAAGCCCACCTCCCCCAAGCCCGCCTCCCCCAAGCCCGCCTCCCCCAAGCCCGCCTCCTCCAAGCCCGCCATCTCCCCAGCCCCAACCCACCTCTTCCCCTGACACATAGCACAGCAGGCGGGAAACCTCGTGTTTGTGACAGCAGGCAAAACGGACAGCCACCTCCCCCATGTTAGAATATAGCATAGTGTATGTTTATATTTGTGCAAGTGTTACACCCTAAAGTGGGTGTACACTTTGGGTCAAGGCGACCCCACCAATTTTGGTTGGGCGCCCCCAAACCCAACTCGACCGCAATTGACGGGGGGGCCCAAAAATGATCCCCTCCAACAATTGTTAGTTACCCCAGCAATTGTTGGTCGACCCAATCTGATTGGTCCGCCAATAATGCTGAGGGTACCCCACCAAGTTCCCAACTTCTCATCTCCTATATGTACCCACACTCGTTCTAATCAAGACAACACTTGAGATTCTTTCACCCCAAGCTCACCTCCCCCACCCAACCCAACGCACCTCTTCCCCCGACACATAAAGCACAGCAGGCGGGGAACCCCCTGTCCGCGAGCCCCTTGCTTCCTCTGCCAGCAGCCCTGCCAACTGCAGGGGGGAGGTAACGGTAAAAAATGGGGAAGGGGCATGGATTCAGAAAAGGTTATGGTAATGTAACAGCTTTCGCGAGCCCCTTGCTTCCTCTGCCAGCAGCCCTGCCAACTGCGTTTGACAGGGGAGGGGAAACGGTCACACAGGTGGTGGGAAGGAGGGATTACGCATATCAAGGCAGGGTCATGCGTAAAGAGTTAGCTTCAGTGTGAGTGCAGGAGTTCATATCAACAGAGAAAATATTTGAGGAATCACCTGAAGCAGAAGGGTGCTCTTCCCGGCACCTGGGCTGCCGGACACAAGCACCAGGGACCCTGGCGAGGTAGCATTGGAGCAAATGTGGAAAGAAAAAAGGGAACAGAAGAAACAATCTTTGAAACGATCCAGGAATAAACTGCTGGGCACAAGCACGCAAAAGGGAACCTGCTGCCGGTTATAGGCAGTGAGGGAGTGGAGGGGAAATGGGAAAACGGCTTAAATAAAGATAACAAGCGTAAGTGAGACGGGGTTGTGAGAAATGAAGACAGACAGATAGAAAACGGATGCCTATCTGTCTCCAACATCCCTGCTTGCCTCAAAAACGGGCCCACCAATGCTCACCACCAGTGGCACCAATTAGTTCATTAAACCCCGCTTTTCAACACGTGCGCGCACACACCCCTTCACCCCTTCTCTTGAGCTCTCTCTCCCACACACACCCAACCACACACATGCACACCGCATGGGTGCCACTGACCACACATATGCGAATCTCATTTTCTCGAACCACATCCGCCATCACACACTCTCCCCCTCACTCTCATCCCACCTCATGACCCACACTCACCCACTCACTCTCATTCCATCAACCACACTCATCCACTCACTCTCATCCCACCAACATCACTCGCCCACTCACTCTCATCCCACCAACCACACTCACCTGCAAACTCTCACCCACACTCACCCAGCACAACCCCTCCGCCCAGCACTCTGCAAATCTCCTCCCCCTCCGGCCCCTTGCTGCCACAGGCACACTCGCAAGCAAGAACATTCATGCAAGGACAGGCACGCAGGGAGAAGCAGGCAAAGACGATCATACAGCAAAACCATGCAATGGGGCAGGAGAAGGAAGGAGAGATGGAGGCGCAGGGAGGTGGATAGGAAGGGCATGAAGGGCATAGGGAGTGGAGTGTGGCGAGCTGCAGGGAGTAAATTAAGAGGTTTTCAGATACGTCACCATAATATGAAGCCATGCTATAAAGAAGCGAACCAAACCGTCGTATAGTGAAGTGAACCAGGCCGTGGTAGAGTGAACCCGTGACGCATTTGTGGAGTGAAGGGCACTGAACTGACCTAGCCACACATTCGCTGCTTACGGAAGAAAAGGAAACACGTGCCGCCAGCTGTCCTGTCGTCAGCTGATTCGACCACTTTTGGGCCGCCTCGAAAGGACACTCTGTCAGTGCACGCACTTGTTGCTTACAGAGACAAGTGCCAGCTGTCGCCAGCTGATTGGATGACCTCTTGGAGCGGCCGTGCCCGTGGCCTGCTGCTGCTCAGAAGCATACTGCTGCTGCTGCCGTAACCATTGCTGCCGCTGCTGCTGCTGCTGCTGCTATAGCCACTGCTGCTTCTCCCGTTGCTGCTATTCACCCAGCCGCCAAAATTACTCCCCCTTGACCTTCCATTCCTGCTGTACTGTCCACTGCCACCCTCCTCTTCCTCCCCTTCCTCCTCTTCCTCACTTCCCTCCCCTTCTTCCTCCTCCTCACCTTCCTCCTCCCCCTCATCCTCCCCCTGTTCCGCCACACTGCTCACTTGCTGTGAGTTAATACCAGCAGCAGCACCTGACTGCACTGATCCAGTGCTGCTAACACCACCAGCATCCGTTCGGGGATATGCTCTCCTCACCCCACTGCTACCACTCATAACACTGCTACCACTGTTACCACTTCTAGCACTGCTACCATTCCCGCTCCCATCATCTGCTCTTCGCCTCTTCGGATCTTCCCTGCCCCCCGGACCACCCACCTTCCCTCTAGACCGTTCAAATGCCCGGATTGCTGCCCCCCCGCCTCCACCCCCCGGCCCCGGCTCATCGTCGGTCACCGTGAATCTTTTCAAGCTGCCCAGCGCGCCGCAGGCGGAGCAGTCCCCCCACCACTGCTTGCTCTCGTTTCCGCACTGATCGCACACGTACACCACCTTGTCTCGTTTCTTTTTCCTGGCCTGCCCGAATCCCCCGGTGGCAGCCACAACAAGCCGTGAAGCTGCCCGTACTTGAATTGTAGATAGCCTGGAGGGGGGTGCAGCAGGAAACGGTAGCATCGGCTGCAAGAATAGCTGCTGCTGCTGCCGGTGCTGATGTCCGCGATTGTTTGTGAGCGAGCTATTATTCTGGTGCCGAAGCTGCTGCTTCCGATGCTCCCCCGGCAGACATGAAAGCGACTTCCGTTTTCCTTGATCTGAGTGAATCCCCTGCCTTGTCCTGTCGCTTGCCTGCGATGTTACACGGGTAACCACAGCAGGTTTCGCGGATTGTCTAAGGAAATTGATACCGGGAGGGGGGCAAACTGTTCGCAAGAACGAAAGCCTCGTTGATATCGAATAAGCGACGGATATCATGCTTACGCTATAGATGATTGCTATTGGACAATCCTGTTGAAGAGCTGTCGTAATAAGTGACAAATCGTAGAGAATCCGAGCAGAGGCGCCTCGGAAACAGCACTTGCATTTCAACTCACGAGGGCTCTATTTTCCAGGCACCACGAATCGAAGTAGATAATTTTCGGGCTCGTTCAAAACTCATCCAAATTGAAACGAGTTTTCTTGTCCGTGCTTAGTCTAACGTAAAATTCTCAGATGAGCCCATGTGGATTCCACTATAAAGAAGGATCATAACGGGTACAGCGAATTTGTTGATTTCGAGGGGAAGCAGAAAATCATCAGTAGAGTGTGTGTGTGCGATTTGCTAGGGGGCCTGGTGCTGTGTTTCCCTTCCCACCAGGCAGACCATAGGACCTCGTCTTGAACGTCAAATTTCCAGTCACCACGCGTCAACATCAAGGTGACTGCTGGCACGGGGAGCGTAGTTTCACAACGCGTATGTTGCTTGTGCTGAGCTCTTACATGCCTCGAGCGAGCCTATTGTCATTCTCAAGAAGATGCTAAGAGATCATAAGGTGTGTCCCAAGACGGACAGGAACTGTTATATGTCGGCGAATGCCATCTGTCGCACGGTCAGAATGTGCTGTCGTCGCGACGTCGCCGAGTCAGCGAGGATCTGTACGGTTCAGCATCATTCGTCGCCGCGGGACCCTTTTTCCCACTGTACCATCGTTCGATACAAAAACGGAAAAGTACCTTTCGCATTTCTGAAAAAGTGCACTTGGATTGCTCGGGGGTAGTACCTGCTGCGTCGCACTTCTTCGTACTCCGTCGCACTCCTTCGCACTTCGTCGAACAGTATGGCTCTTATTGCACTCCTCACGCATCAGGAGAGAGTGAACGCATTGAGCGTCTTCGTGCTCCTAGCTCCCAGTCTCGCGATCCTGTCTCTCGTCATCGCCATTTTCTGGCTGCTCGGAGTCTACAGGCAGAAGATAGGCTATGGTCCTCCCGCGTGGCCAATTCTTGGCACCTTGCCTGAAATGTTACTGGCGTTTCCGTATCTCTATGACTGGGCGACAGCGTATCTCGAGGTAAATCCTCAAATCTACCTCCTTCCGTAACAGATTCCGTGACCTTGCTCTTCAGGCGACCATCATAATAACCTGGGCGAATTCTGATCCTGATCAGGCTAGTCCCACGATGACCTACATCTCGCTAGCGCCAGGCCTCAACGAAGTCGTCACTGCCAACCCTAAGAACCTCGAGCACATTCTCAAGACCAATTTTGCGAACTATCCGAAGGGTCCTAACTTCCAGGTACGTACAAACTAGTCTTCTAGGCATTTTCATGACAGCTTTTTGTAAGGCATTGCTGACCAAAAGCACAAAATACTTCAAAATAAACAAAAATCATCAGACCAACTTCGAAGACCTTCTTGGCCACGGCATATTCAATAGCGACGATGACGTCTGGAGGCAGCAGCGCAAGACTGCCAGCCTCGAGTTCTCCCAGCGGTCACTGCGAGACCTCATGATGGTGTCAATACAAGAAGAGCTCCTCCAGCGGTTCATCCCTACCCTGGAAGAGGTGCGTGAGGCAAGGCGGAATTCATGGGTATCAGGGAATGGCTGGACAGAATTCCTTGATTAATTCATAGCGAGCATAACGTTTTCTATGGTTTGGTTTGGGTGTTTGGCTTTGGTGATAAGCAGGCCTCTATGACGAGAACGCCAGTGGACCTGCAAGACATTCTGCTGCGGTATACCTTTGACAACATTTGCAGAATTGGGTTTGGTGTTGATCCTGGCTGTCTTGAGCCGGGCCTTCCAGAAGTCCCATTTGCGCGAGCATTTGACGAGGCCACAAAGGTATGGATGCCTTGCGTTGATCAAAGACTGTTTGTTGCCATACTGGTTGAGTTTCTAATCACTGGCGTTTGAACATTTCTTCAGGCAACACTTTACAGAAACTTGATTCCTGAGTTTGTCTGGAAGGCATTCAGGTTCCTTCGCTTGTTTCAAGAGGGAACGCTTCACGCAGCTGTGAAGGTATGGCCATACGCAAATTCCCTTGCTCACTTTGGTCCAGAATTTTTGCTCGACCACCCCTTATATTCTATTCGGTTCATGTGTGATTGCAGGAAATCGACTCTTTTGCAGAAGATGTTATTAGAAATCGGCGCACCGAGCTGGCAAGCGAAAAGAAACAGCATGCAGTTGATGGTGCTGTAACTGACCATTCAGACATTCTCTCCAGGTGAATACATCTTTTTACGCTGTATCTTGAAGGGTCTCTGTGATGTGTACCAACGCTACAGTGTACATTGTTTTGGCTGCAGGATGATGCTTCTTGAGAAGGATGATGGTGGTCAGCTGTACTCCGAAAGGTTCCTCAGGGATGTTTGCACGAATTTCATTCTTGCTGGAAGGGATACTTCGTCTGTCCTCATGACCTGGCTCTTCTGGCTGCTGACGTGGCACCCTAGCGTGGAAGAGAAGATACTGGCGGAGGTGCAGTCAATTGTTGCTGCTCGTGAAGGTGGGTCATTTACAGCAATGTGTTTGAAGTGAATGATTGCTGGTTTCACTTGCCCGTATCCACAAGGCTGAGGTTGAGTTGTTGACTGCCGCTTTCGCAGGTGACAAGAGCTTTGGTGCATTCACCTATGACGAGCTGAAGCAGATGAAGTATGTGCATGCAGCAATTGCTGAGTCACTTCGGCTGTATCCATCTGTCCCAGCGGATTTCAAGTGAGTTCAAGCCTACTGCAGCTTTTTTTCTGTAATCTACCTTGCCAAAGTGTGTGCTCACTATCAAGATCGATGATTGCAGGCATGTCGTGAAGGATGATGTTCTTCCCGATGGGACACACGTCAAGAGTGGTTGGCGAGTGCAGTATGAGCTCTATGCAATGGGTCGTATGACTCGCATTTGGGGACCCGATGCGAGAGATTTCAAGCCAGAGCGGTGGCTTGACAGCAATGGTGAATTAGTCAATGAATCGCCTTTCAAGTTTCCGGCTTTCAACGCTGGACCTCGCCTCTGCCTTGGGAGAGACCTTGCCTATCTTCAGGTACTACACCTTTCCCTGCTGTTATTACTATGTACCTCCAGCACTGTCTGGTTCATCTGCCTTGCGTACCCAGGTCTGAACCATAACATTGGTACTGTCGGTGCTCGCAGATGAAGTCGATTGTTGCCAGCACAGTTCGCCTTTTCCGGCTCGCCGTTGTGCCCGGCCACAAGGTTGAATACAGCATGTCGCTGACTCTCTCCATGACAAATGGGCTGAAGGTCTTTGTGACTTCCCGGTGAATGGGAAGTTTCTTAGTTGAAAAAATAAGGTGGCTGGCCTTACCGGTACATTCTCGGAGGCTAGACATATATTAGCTGGGTAATGGTTTCGTCATGTATTAGCTTCGGCTCAATCAATACAGCACATGCGGCATGCATGTTGGGCAAATTCCATTACAAAGTCAATAGTAGCTTTGCAGAAGGCACAGGCTCGGGTGATTCTTTTGCGGGCGGCATACACGTTGGGTCAGTCCGAGGCGGAGTGGGTGGAGCGAGGGGGTGGGGAGCAGGAGTTTGGAGAGGGAGCACCATGGGTGGACGTGCCCTACTTGGTCGACATGCGGCTGTAGATGTCTTTGGAAGCAATACTTTGTTTCGGGTTTTGGCGATGGTCTTTTGATGTTTGAGGTAGTAAGACACTTCTAGGAAGGGTTTATGCATGTCTGTATGCTTGTTGAAATAGATAATGATTCACCTGTTGTACCTTGTGAAGCAGGAACCACGAAAGCGATAGACTGGTGGTATATTGCATCGTTCAATAGCGCGCATCTTGTCCCAGCCATTCATTGATCCGCCGTTGCCATCATGGTGTTATTGATAACGCGAGTGTGCTTGGAGTCGCGCCTGTCTCTTACTATGCAAGGCCAGGCGTCCGTCGCCAGTTCGGATCGGAGGCGAGAGAAAAGAGAATTGATAGAGAATCCGTGCGTCACGTACCCTATTTTCTCAACCATCAACATCCGCCATGTAAGCAAGGCCTTTTCAACGACAGTTTCCAGTTCACGGTCCGACGGCATTATGTCTTACCATCGCGCCACCTCCGCTCTAGCAAACATGATATGACTCGCCGTGACGCATCATGTACCATCGCCTCTCTCAAATTATAATCAAAGCTCCTTCTCGAGGCGCCTCATACCTTAAGATTTTCCAGTTCCCACTCATGGTCAAAGCCTTGCCATTGATGGCTCACGATGGCTCAGCAGCGCGCCGCCTCCGCTCCCCTGGCGGAGCGCATGCTGCATCCTGTAATTTTAACTCCCTCCGGTCTGCCCGTGCTGTTCCCCGGTGAGGTGGAGAGCCTCTTAATCGACGACGCGGGGATAGAGTTCGAGGAGGTAGGCGCGAATTTTCCGGCGCTGTTCTCGAAGCGGAGTCGCTTCGCGATGGCGTCGCGTCGCTCACCACGCACCGGCTGATCTGGATCGACGAACGGCCGGCGACAGGTGGTAACCAGAAGCGAGCTTTCGCCGTGCCCCTCGTCGCCATCGCGAACGCTTCCGCTGCAGGGTGGCGACTCACCTCAGTTTTCGCCTCCCCTCGTGTTCGCATGTACGTCTTACTAGACCCGCAACGCAGGGGCGGTTTTGTCATCTTCTGCCATTGGCAGCAGCTACAGCACGCAGAGCAGCAACTTAGGGACGACGTCAGGTCGAACCGCGTCGTTAGTAGCCGTTCTAGCCAGGCCCCTGCTGACGTGTTCTTAAAAAAACTGAACGAAGCTCTAGCGGATAGAAAATGGCAAGATTCACCTTTTCCGGGGCTAGTAACACCCCCTGCTGACGCCTCCGCGCCTCTCTCCGGCCCCGCTTTTCTTGAAGCAGCAGCAGCGGTTGGCGCATATGGGGGGGGCGGAACGGGGGGATCAGCAACTGGCGGAGCAAACCCTCTGTACTGGGGCAGTGGGGGGCATGGAAGCGGGGAAATGGGCGCAATAGGGGGAGCAGGGGGGGCGGGGGGAGCAGGGGGAGCGGGGGGAGCGGGGGGGGGCTCCCCCGGTGCAGTTCAGCACTGCAATGGCGGGGGTGGGGGGGATTCTGAGGCGCGAGGCGGAGCAGAAGCAGGCCACGGATCGCAGCCTGCAAGAAGCGTTCTCCGACCTGAATGCGCTCATGGTGAGTGGAGGAGAGGGGATTCGGATGAACTTACTTGCAGAAGCAGGCCACAGTGTTGAGCCTATCTTTCCAGTGGTTACAGGATCGCAGCCTGCAGGAGGCATTCTCCGACCTCAATGCGCTCATGGTGAGTGGAGTGGAGGGTATCAGCCTGCTACCTACAGTGTTGAGCCTACCTCCAGTGGTCACAGGATCGAATCCTGCAGGAGCCGTTTTCTGACCTGAATGAGCTCATGGTGAGTGGAGAGTAGGAACCAGTGATGGTATCACATCACAGGCCTTTTGATTGGACGCAGCTACTTGCAACAAACAAGTTGGTGACAGGATTTCCCCTTTGGGTGTCCGTGGATGTGAATGTGATTCTGTACTTGTTTGTTACTTGGGATGATTTCATGGTGAGTGAATGCGCCTATCTCTAATCCAATGTTGACAGGGAATGAGGGGCCTGGAACGAACATTGATGGATTGCAAGTATGTATCGACCTGACCCAGGGGAGTGAGATGGTGAAACTGGCTGAGAGAATGCAGCAGCACACAGTTTTCAATGCACACTGTGACAGAAGCTGCAGCAGCAGTAGGAGGCTGAGGGGAGGGGGGGGATGAGGGATGGGGGGAGGGGGGAATGGGGGGTGGGGGAGGTTGAGGCGCCTCACGAACGAAACAGTATGGGGGAGCAGCAGCAGAATGGCTGTCACTCTGCCCTCCCCCCCATCCTTCCATACACGCCAAGTCAAGCGAGATGGTGAAACTGGCGGAGTGAATGCGACAGAAGCTGCAGCAGCAGCAGCAGCAGCAGCAGCAGCAGCAGCAGCAGCAGCAGCAGCAGCAGCAGCAGCAGCAGCAGCAGCAGCAGCAGCAGCAGGGAGGCCCGACAGCAAGTGGGGAGATCAACCCTTCTCTCTCTTCCTCCTCCTCTTCCTCCTCCTCCGCATCAGCAGCAGCAGCATCGGAGGAGCTACAGGACCTGCTACTGAAGATGGGCATTGAGTCGCCCGTCACCAGAGAGTCAGCAGGGTCTGTCCAGAGAGAGGTGGGTGGTTTTTCCCTTCCCTCTCTTGCTCCTCCTCCTCCTCCTCCTCCTCCTCCTCCTCCTCCTCCTCCTCCTCCTCCTCCTCCTCCTCCTCCTCCTCCTCCTCCTCCTCCTCCTCCTCCTCCTCCTCGTCCTAGAAACTGGGTCGCCCATCACGAGGGAGACGGCAGGGGCGCTGTACCACACACACGCAGCCCTCCAGAGAGGTGGGGTATTCCTCCTACTGGATTCAGGGTTTGCGCAGAGATGGGTGCTGTGCTTTGCTTGTGCAGTGATGGCTTTTTACCCAAAAAAGTATAGTCCACCGTCATGACTGACTCATGAGAGGATTTTTGAGACGTCTCAAAACACTCCTTTTTTCACATAGTCCACCGTCATGACTCATGAGAGGATTTTTAGTCAACTCCAAAAAGTCGCCAGGGGATTTTTTTTCCTATCACAGGCAGCTCTCCACAGAGTTGGGGTGCTCCTACCACAGGCTTGTAAGGTCTTGATTTGAGTTTTTGTATTAAGGTTTGGTGTAAGGTTTAGGGTTGGGTTTACGGTTTAGGCAGGAATGGGTGCTTTGCTCTGCCACAAGTTAGCAGGCACTTCATTATTATTTGCCTTTGCCACTTGCAGTTGATCACAGTGAAAGCGTGCTGCTCATGCCGCTCAAAGCTGAATAAAATAAACATCACCTCCCCTCACTCGTCTCCCCTGCTCCCAATCCTCTCTCCCCTGCTCTCCCATTCCTATCCCTGCTCCCATTTCTCTCACCTCCTCCCTTTCCTCTCCCCTGCTCGGCTCCCAGCTTGCAGATTTCATGGGTCCAGTGCTGGAGAAGACAGGTGGCACGATGCTATTGGTCGACGTGTACTGCATAGCATACTCAACCGCGCCAGAGGCACAGGTGCGTAATGAACCGCTCTCAACCAACCCTCTTCTCTGAGGCAAGTCGAAAGTGCTGTGCTGGCAATGCTGAGCTGGCAGTGCTGAGCTGGCAGTGCTGTGCTGGCAGTGGTGACATGACCAATTTGTTGTGGTGAAGAGTTTGCAGATATTCTTTTTTCTTATGAGGAAGTGTCAGCAAGCGAGCGTTTAAGGCAAATGTTGTGTATTTCCGCTTTTGATGTGGCTTCGTGACTGACTGTGTGACTGTGTGGCTAGTGACTGTGGTTATGTGTTTATGTGTTCATGTGTATATGTGTGTGTGTGCGTGTGTGCGTATGTGTGTGTGTGTGTGCGTGTGTGTGCGTGTGTGCGCGTGTGTGTGCGTGCGTGCGCGTGCGTGTGCGTGCGTGTGCATGTGTGCGTTTTAGGGCTGCGGGGGTGCGTGTGTGTGTGCGTGCGTGCGTGCGTGCGTGCGTGCGTGCGTGCGAGTGCGTGTGTGTGTGCTCCCCCATTCCTCTCAGAGCTCAGACGATATTCTCAAGGCGTGTTCACTCTGGTCCTCTTTCAACTCGTCAGTCAATCCAACCAACCAGCCAAAACGTTCGAAATTGCCGGACCTGGATGGCACATCCAGCACCATCCGCTGGATGGAGCCAGCGAATGTGAATCTCGTCAAAGGAGTGAATTGGTCCCGGATGTGTTCAGCGGTAATTTGAATGTGAATCTGAATTGATACACACACCATACAATGATCCAACTAGCAGCAATGTTTCTTTGCTCAGATAGTTGTTGAAATCGCATCTTCGATTCCATCACTGTGTGTTACCTCCCTATTTTACGCTTGAGAATTCCCAAATGTTTCTGGCAGTGTTATCATTCCGCTTTGTTCCCTTCCAGTTTGTCTCCTGGCCCCCCTCACAAGCTTAAACCACTTTTGAAAAGCCTCAAAAGTAACACAACCTTTCCATCCGAGCCTGCCGTCTCCCGTGAAATCGATCTCCCTTCTCTTCTCCCCTTGTGGTTTTCCCCTCTCTCACCACTGCCCAGCCTTGCAGTGCTACAGCACTTCTACAGCGGAATGCAGAGCCTTGCGGCATTCTCGTGACACACTCACTACTTCTCCCACCCTCCTTGTCTCTCGCTCTCTCCTCTCGTCTCTGTTTCCCCTCGCTCTCGGGTGCCCAGCCCTGCAGTGCTATGCCGCTGTGACAGTGGCATCCTCGTGCTCCAGCTGAAGGCGCACAGCAGTTTCTCACTAGCAGTGCTTTCCCTCCCCCCTTCCCCTCTGCCTCTCTCGTTTTCCCGCATGACCAGCCCTGCGGTCCTAAGGCGCTTTGACTGTGGCATCCTCGTGGTGCAACTCAGGACTCACAGTGATGAGCATGCATGTGGGTGCAGTGCGGTGCAGTGCATTTCAATGCAGCAGAATTAATATACACTGCTATGCTTTAGGACGTTGGATAATATGTACCGTACTCCAGCGACTGCAGGGGATTTTGTTTACATAATTGCATATACATTACAGAGAATACAGCGCAAATATTTCTACACTTATGTTTCCTTTTCATTTTCCGCTCGCCCTTCTTGCTCCCGGCCAAACTCCTTCGCTTTCAGTCCCATACCCACCCCCATCCATTCCCGTGGTTCTCCACACCCCTTACATCTCGCTCCACTCTTGCTGCCCACTTCCCTCCTCTCTTCAAGTTCCTCCCCTTGCCCCCTACAATGTTACCCGCCCTGACCACTTCCGCCTCTGCCCCTTTCTCCCCTGCCCCTCCTCCCCTGCACCTCTATCCATCTCTCCTCCTGGGAAAGGTGAAAAATTACTGTCGTTTTGAAAATTTACCGTAAAATACGGTATCGTATAATAGGCTCGTGTGAGAAATCGTACAGCAGTGGCAAAAAATATGGTTGTATTTTTTAACCTTGCTCCCGTTTGGTCCCTTTCGCCCTCTCCTATTGTCTCCTCCACCCTTTACCCTGGCTCTCTCTTTCTTGGCACCTCTTTCCCCCTCACATTTCCCTTCCCTTTATCTTCCTTCTCGTCAACTCAACCATTCACCTGCTTCTTCTCACTCCTCCTCACTCCCCCCTCGTTCTCTCCCCCTCTTCCTCTCTTTTGCACTCCTCTTCCCCTCCTCTTTTACTCACAAGCAAGTTTTACTCCTGTATTGCTCTATCCCAGTTCACACGCAATAGACATTCTCCTGTCCCTCTATTTTTCCACCGACATGCCAGGTCACACACCGGATTCAGGACATGGTATCCTCCCCTCCTCTTCCCCCTCCTCGCTGCACCTCGTTCTCTCCAAGTTTGTCCCTTCTCCCTCTGTTCCCTTCTCCATCTGTTCCCCTCTCCCTCTGTTCCCCTCTCCCTCTGTTCCCCTCTCCCTCTGTTCCCCTCTCCCTCTGTTCCCCTCTCCCTCTGTTCCCCTCTCCCTCTGTTCCCCTCTCCCTCTGTTCCCCTCTCCCTCTGTTCCCCTCTCCCTCTGTTCCCCTCTCCCTCTGTTCCCCTCTCCCTCTGTTCCCCTCTCCCTCTGTTCCCCTCTCCCTCTGTTCCCCTCTCCCTCTGTTCCCCTCTCCCTCTGTTCCCCTCTCCCTCTGTTCCCCTCTCCCTCTGTTCCCCTCTCCCTCTGTTCCCCTCTCCCTCTGTTCCCCTCTCCCTCTGTTCCCCTCTCCCTCTGTTACCCTCTCCCTCTGTTCCCCTCTCCCTCTGTTCCCCTCTCCCTCTGTTCCCCTCTCCCTCTGTTCCCCTCTCCCTCTGTTCCCCTCTCCCTCTGTTCCCCTCTCCCTCTGTTCCCCTCTCCCTCTGTTCCCCTCTCCCTCTGTTCCCCTCTCCCTCTGTTCCCCTCTCCCTCTGTTCCCCTCTCCCTCTGTTCCCCTCTCCCTCTGTTCCCCTCTCCCTCTGTTCCCCTCTCCCTCTGTTCCCCTCTCCCTCTATTCCCCACCTGTCATGCCAGGTCACACGCAGGATCCATGACATGGCTTCGACCAATGAGGCGCTGCGAGTCGGGGTGTCCGTTGCTGACGTGGCGCAGGCGCTCGGGGTCTCGCCAGTTGTCGCCAAGCAGGAGCTTCTAGCAGCCGAGGCCAAGGGTCAGAGTAGTGTTGTTTTGCTAATTGCTGTTTTTCTGAGTGTCTTTCTTAGGAATTATGCCAGGGAGGAGTTGCTAGCAGCCGAGGCCAAAGGTAAGAATTTATTATGCTTTACCGAGTGTTCCCCTCCTCTTCCCCCTCCTCGCTCCACCTCGTTCTCATGAGTATCTCTCTTAGGAATCCCACCAAGGAGGAATTGCTAGCAGCCGAGGCCAAGGGTGAGAGTGGTGTTGCTTTGCTAACTGCTGTTTCCTAAGTGTCCCTTCTAAATAATATCGTTCACCAAGGAGGAGCTGCAGGCCAAAGGTGAGAAGAATGTAGTGTGCTCAGTTCAGTGCTGTTCTGGGTGTCCCTCTTAAAGGATTTCAGCAAGGAGCAGCTGCTGCTAGCAGCCGAGGCCAGAGGTGAGAGTAATGCGGTTGTTCTAAGTGCTATTTGTTTTCTATGACCCTCAATCATGTCTCTAAGAAAGAGCTTCTTTGTAAAGGCATGCTCTGTTCGAAGTGTGGTTCTGGTGTCAGTAGTTGTGACTGGGATTTTTGTCTGTACGGTTCCCTTTCCTCGACTTTCACCTCTACCCCATCCATTTTGTGCCTAGATGGCGCTGCAATTACTCTCCTCCCTTTTTTCCCCTTCACCTGGTCCCACCGTTCCTTCAACGATCCCAATCTTCCCTTCCACCCTCGCCATCCCATTCTGCTCTTTCGTGTTGAGACAACACTCTGATGGGTCTCTTGGTTTCCTCCCTTCACTGTTCTCCATGTTTCCTCTGCAGTCTCAGGACAGTCTCTGCTATCCGCAGTATTGTTTTCTTCCTCCACTGCTCTCCATGTTTCCTCAGCAATTCCCTCCGTTTCCTCCACCCTCACCACCACCCCGTTCAGCTCTTTTGTGTCATCGTTTTTTTCCAAAACGTCTTTGCAACGGTTCACATGTGATGTGACATGTGATGTGACATCTGATCTGACAAGCACTACTACTGTCACTAACGGTAGAGTTGACACACACTGCCGCTGCATCCGATGGTCTCCGCTTCTTCCAAACATTCTTTGCAACGGCTCACATGTGATATGTCAAAGGATCTGAATCCTGATCTAACCTGATCTGACCTGACGTGCACTGCTGCAATCGCTACATGATGTTGGCGATGGGCACTGCTGCTGTTGCTACGTAGTCTTGGTTGGCAGCACATTGCGGATGCCAGTCACTGGTGCTGCTGTGCATACACACCAGGGCTTTTCAATGTACATACTGTACCAGAGTGGCTATGTCATGTATTAGACCGCTTTCGTCCCACTAACGGCTCACAGTGACCCACTCAATCTAAACGTATTGGAGCATCTGGTGAGCCAGCCCAATCAGCAACTGTGTGGGTGTTGTTGATTCAGGTGATCACAGTGCTTGTTGGTCGGGCGTAGTTATGACCTTGAAGGGCTGTTGAAAACGAGGAAGACCAAACAACAACAAAATGAACATGTATGGAATAAAACATTGTTGAACAGGTACTATGCATAAGTATTCTAGATATATATATGTAATATCTAAATATTACAAACATTTTTTTACTAAAACGTTCATCATAAAACGGGTTGAGTGCGCGGTGGTTTGGTGTGGCTGGCGAGGCTGGCCGTCCTACGGTGATGTCTAGTTTGCGCTCGAACCTCGTCGCAAGTCCACGTAAGTCAACGAGGAGTTGTCGCACAGTACAATCTCCCACGTCGGATAGGTTCGCGGGTGTGTCGTTTGTGCATCTCAATTCGCCGAGCTTCGCGACGAGTCACGAAATGGAAAGCGGGGGCCCCCAAAACGAAGTGTACTTGCCTACTCGCTGGAAGGGACAACGACATCGGGGCGATGTTCGGCTGCCACAGGGTTTGGGGGGAGGGATGGGATGGAGCATCAGAACGCCGAGCCTGCTGGTTCGATCTGTTCGAACCAGGCAGAACACTTCGGTCAGACATGAAAATTGTGAAAAACAAGTGTCGGACGTGAGCCTAAAACGCGACGCGAACCCCGCGCTAGGCTTGAACCCGCGCCGCGTCCTCCCCCCAATTCCCCACCATGGCGGAAAAACTCCGCCCTAGTGTTCAGGGCATGGAAAGTGCATTCCCGTGGGTGGTCTCAGCCCACGGGGAATGAAAAATCCATGCCCCCTTCCACAATTTTCGTGTATACATTTACTCCACACTCTTAAAAACAAATAACCCGGACATTGAAATTATAATGCTAAACACAAAAATTCGAAATGAACTCGCCAAAATTAACCAAGGTCGAATCGTCCTTTACACCCTTTAATTAATTTATGGTGTACAGAATTCAAGTAGAGCAAGCTACCCACACAAATCGCAACAGTAAATTCGGGAAAACTGTTCAGCTCGCGAAGTTTCGTTTCGCGCGGCTGCAGTTTCGTGGGCCCCCATTTCCCGGGTCGCTCCTCCGCGCCTTTTCCCCCAAACTTTCCGCTTCCGCCTGGACTCCAGACTTGAGTCAACGACGGTTGACTCCGAGCTGACCACCCCGAACTAGAAACCCTAGCTGCAAATCTGATCCCTCCCCCCATCCCTCGGTCGATCCCCTGTGGCAGCCGAACACGCCCGGGAGCAAGCGAGCAAAGTTGAGGAGTACACCTGGTCCGCGGTATTTTAACCGCCGTTATCGTAACCAAATTTGTCGGCACGCTGGGCGTTTCTTGTTGGGTGGCCAGAAATCGCTGTTCACACTTGACCGAACCAAGTTGTAGGTTGCCAAGCCTTTTTTTGATATTTCAGCTGGCGCCGTCCACGTGGCAAGCGAATTTCCCCATCCGAATTTTCCAAAAAGAATCGTCACCGTCGATGGTTTTACTTTCCCGACTCTGGAACATTCCAGATGGCGAAAAGAGCCGAATTGCTCCTTTTGAGTAGTGCTGTCAAAACTTCCCATGCTGTTCAGATATTTGGTGGTGAAAATAATGACCGAAAATTTGCACCCTTATCTTCACCACGGCCAGATAATCCAAAATCCTGCTACCCATTTTCGCGCGGTTAAAATACCGCGGACCAGGTGTACGAGTTGATTGACGAGGGGAGGCGACAAAGCGAGAGGGCAAAGGCCTTTGACAACGAGAAAGCGACCCACCACAAGCTATCGTTCGTGAATCGTGAGTCGCGCAAGTGCAGCCCGCACCGACAATCCCCCCTTCCCCAACCCCCCCACCCCCACCCCCCCTTCCCCCCAGCACACCCACTGACCTGGCAGCGAGGATGCCATGCCGATGCTGAAGTCACAGAAATAGTCGCCAGAAAAGGTCTGTAGGTTGTCGACTGCCGCTGAAAGCATCCAAGCTGGAAACCTTAGCATTTTCTCCCACGCGTGCACTTCCCGCTTCTTGGAAAGTCTTCTCTAGGGACGAACGGGCCTGGAGGCTTCTGTGAACGTCTTTCCCGTCTCGTTCGGCAAAGAACTGCTTCTTGCGATGTCTTTCGAAGTCACCGAAAGGACTCTGCGGAAAGCAATTCGCAATGTTGGCCAAGAACGGCTGCACCTCTCTAACACACGCGGGTAGTACGAGATGGGATGGGGCTGGGGGAAAGGTTCAACGAACAAAGTTCAGCAGCAAGCATCGACACAAGAACCGTGAGAAACAAGCGTGAACATCAGAATCGCTAGCCCACGTTTGAGAGATGGCGAGTGCTCCTGTATGCTGTCGGAATGGACGACATCGTACCGGGGGAAGCCGAAGCGCCGTTGCAGGCCGATTCTATTCCAGTCTTATTTTTTTCGTGACAGATCGTGACGAGTCATGTCTCGACGCAGGGGTGGCGAAGTCCGCCGAACTACCCGTCCAAGATCATGGCTCCTTACTGTCGTCGCTCTGTGTCGTCGCGAAACGGGCCTTCGGAGTGACTTTTCTGGCGACTATGGCGTTCGCGATGCTGCTGGTTTGGGTGTACAATTTCTCGTCCGGCGCGAGTCCCCGTGTCACAGCCTTTCGCGATTCTCTGGACTCGTGCGTGGGAGTGGACCTCGCTTATAGAGGAATGCACAGCATGTCGTTTTTCCGCGGTATTGCGTGCTCCGACTTGGTGAACGCAGCCGCAATACGCGGTAAAGCAGGCTTTGATAAGGGAAACGAAAGTCATTACAATCACATGCCGACCGGAGGTGACAGCAGCAGCACCAGCAGCAGCAGCGAAGTAGGAAGTAGTTTATGGGCCACTTTGGGAGCGGCGGAGAATGCGGAAAGAGACGGTTGCCGAGTCGTGTATGATTCTAGCGTCCACCCTCGGGATATAAAGCCCACTTCATTCACCCACTCCGGCTGCCAGATTGAATGGATAACTTTCTCCACCCGGTGTGGAAAAGGCGTGCAGCGCTTAGCTAAGTTCTGTGATTTGGTGGGAGTTCCGTTTGCAGTGCTTGGTCTGAACGAGACCTGGAAGGGACTTGGCGGGCGCGTGAGATACTATCGGGAGTATTTGAGGACTCTACAGCGTGACAGAATCGTGATTGTAACAGATGCGGACGACGTCTTGTTCCTGCCGAATCGTGAGTTGTGCGGACCGGATCAACTCGTTAAAGCCTTTCTCTCGCTTAACGCTCCTGTCGTTTTCGGAGCGGAAATATTTGCGTATCCGACGGTCGAAGTCATCCCGTTTTACCCACAGAAGCTGAAGTCTCCTTTCCCCAATCGACACCTTAACGCGGGGTGTTATATCGGCTACGCTTGGGCTTTATCGGAGATGATCGACGCGACGTACACGAGTGACTGTATGGAGGATCAGAGACAGTTCGTTGTCGGTTACTTGGCCCAACCTTACCTCTTCAACTCCCTCCCACGAACGCCTTATCCTGAAACAAAATTCGCTTCGATACAATCACTTCTTTCCCAGGAAAAAACAGTAACCTCTACAGTAAATGCTACAAGTTCATATCGAAAATTACTGATCTCCTCCTCGCCCCTCACACCTGCTCGTGGCACTCTGAAATACCTCTGCGCTCTACCCGGCCCGTTACAAGACCTGATTCCAGAGGATGTAACTCCGGAGAAGCTAGAGGCGGCGAGGCAGGCAGCGCCGCCGCCGTTCATCAAGCTGGACCACTACAACGCTCTCATGGAGCTGCTGGGAGGGCGGAGATTCGAGCAGTTTGAAGTGCAGGGGTCGGGAACTGAGATAAAGGTGTACTCCAGGGTGACTAAATCGTATCCGTGTATTTTCCACCAATCCGGTGATAAGCTGAAGAGGGGGGTGGTGAATGAGATAGTGGAGAATGGGA